CTGTGTGCGCGGAGCCTTCGGGGCCTGTAGGTGGCCCGCTACGCTCGTCGCGCGCATCCACACGTCGTGCGGGGGACTCGCGTGTCCTCCCGCGCTTGGGCGGTTAGCGCTCCCGGCTCCCGGAGGTCCCCGCTCCGCGCCCCAAATCCCAGAGTTTGGGATTCCTGTGCTGGCGGCAAGGGGCTGGCTTGCAGCCCCGGTGGCTGGAGGTGTCGTGACCTACGGGGGGTTGCAGGAGGCGGCGCCACAGGTGTCCCTTGGGCCGGTTCTCCAGAGGAGCAGAAACCAGGCCGGAAGGGTTAGCGTCCCGGCCTCAGCGTCGTGGGCACTGTGGCTGTCGGGGAGGCGTCGGATGGATTCTAGGGGACTGGAGGAGGGTTCTGCTTGGCGGTTGGGGAAGGAGCACAGCTAGTGGGGACAACTCAAGTCAGGGAAATTTCTTTTTGGCATCAAGCAAAAGAAGCCTCTCCCTTCCCAAAGGGTTTGAACTTTGAGAGAAAAGTTCCTGGAATTAAGACAGTTGTGTGTCTTAAAACAGGACTTAAGATAACTGTTATTTTGCCTCTTTTCCTGCACGTAAATGCTGAAGCCACCACTTGCATGACTGTCTCTCCAGAGACTGGCAGGGAGGGGATGAGGGACGGGGCAGAACTGTTTTTGTCCAAGATGGTGAAAGATTTAGAGAGAAGTTATTCAGATGCAGGACCCCTCCCCATGATTTTAGTAACTAGTTGTCTGAGGGCAGGGGATGGAATTAAGTGACCTCGGTGGGGCAGGTTAGTGCCCAGGGACTGTTCAACAAATTCCAACCTTGAGCCTTCTGTCTTCTCTTTACAGCCAACATGCCCATCACTCGGATGCGCATGAGACCGTGGCTAGAGATGCAGATTAATTCCAACCAAATTCCAGGGCTGATCTGGATTAATAAAGTGAGTGTAACTCTGGGTTTTTCCGCCACTGCTTTAACCCAAGTACTTCCAGGGGGGTGGGGGGGGGAGGACCAAAACTTCAGATGCAGCTCAAAAAGGGAAGTGAGGAGGGGCAGGCAGATGTGTTTCCAAGTGGGTCCTGCATGCAGGGAAGAATGTACAAGGCCCAGCCCTGGCCCCACTTTCCCAACTCCTGTCTTCTTGCCTTCTCGAGATATGGACAGGGCGCCCACCTGAAGCCACTTACAGTTTCCAGCGGCAAGATTCTCCCAGCATTTACAGAGTTCTGGTCTCCCCTGAGGGAGACCCCTACAGACATATACAGCATCCTGCAGGGCTTCAGTTGGACAGACAGGAGATAGAGAAGTGGGCACTGCTGGGCAAGAGGGTGCCCGGCTCAGCAGAGGATGAAAGAATGAATCTTGCACCAGTTATTCTAGCCCAAGAAGCCTCTAGCTGGTGCACTTGGGGCAACATCTACCCTCTAGACTTAGTAGCAATAATAACATTCATAATAATAGCTAATGCTTACTGAACACTCACTGTGGGCCATGCTAAGTGTGTTACTTACATTGTGTCCTTTAATCCTCATAGTAGTCCTGTGAGATAGATCCTGTTACTATTATAATTTTCAGATTAGCAAACTGAGGCACTGAGAGGTAGATAATAAAATCACACAAAAAGTGTTGAAGCCAAGCTTTGAACGTGAACAGTCTGACTCAAAAATCCACACTGCTAACCACTAGTAATAATAACAGTAAGAGTTAGTCTTTATATTTGTCACTGTGTTCCCACATATGTTCTGATTTTTATCCAAATTTTTTTGAGGTGTGTTTTCTCATTTCAGAGGAGAGAAAACTGAGAGGCAAATAAGTACAGTGACAGTTCCAGGGTTGCACAGGTGGTCAACATCAAAGTCTGGCCCAGGGCTCCCTCCAGGAGTCCCAGGTGTCCTGAGCAATCCTTTCTACTGGAATAAATTCTTCCATGTCGGTGCTGACAAGCCAGAGAGAAGCATCCCAGAGCTTCAAAACCAGGGCTTGGGGGAGGGTCCTCTGTGTGGGTCCCAATACATCTGTAACAGGCAGAGGAAGGTCTCTGCTGAGGTGATGATGCCACAGTTTGTCAGAACCAAGAATCCCTCTTGAGAGATCCAGAGTGGCCTGTTTAAGCCAGTCTCAGGATGGTCAATCCAAGCCAGATGTCAGGGTGAAAAGGGGAAGTCAATTTTTTTCCCAGACTTGGGGGGCTGGGCAGACTTAGCCCCCAAACCTGCGGTCTCTGAGCTGACACAGCCTGTGGGTGTGTGTTATTTAGGAGGAGATGATCTTCCAAATCCCATGGAAGCATGCCGCCAAGCATGGCTGGGACATCAACAAGGACGCCTGTCTGTTCCGGAGCTGGGCCATTCACACAGGTGTGTGCCTGGGACTCTGGCCCAGGAAGGCCAGGGAAGAGACAAGGGGAGGCCCTAATGTTAACACAGAGGCTCTTCACTGGGGGACAGAGGGCAGGCTTGTATGTCTAGAGGAGAGGGCCCAGGGTTTCAGTGAATTCTCAGAAGGATTTGTAAAGCACAAGTCTTGGAAAGTGAGAAAGACTTCAGGGAGTTTATGGCTAGATTAAAGTTCTGCTTAACATAAGCAGCTGTGAAAAGCAGCTGTAAGCCAGGTCACTGAAAGAGACTCCGGCTTTCCTGTTTCTTGGTGTTGACCAAGGTCCTTGGCTCAAGGTCTAGTTGGTTGCTGGCCTCCTTTTATCCTTGAGGGATGGGGCTCTTAGCCCATCTCAAAAGCATCAGTCCACCTGTGAGTAACTGTTCTTTGCTGTTCAATCTATGCCTACTCCCATGTTTAGACATATAAGATAAGCCCCAGTCCTTACCCTTTGACTGCTGATGGCCCAAGCAGGGAGACTGGGCATAGTCTGGGACACAGCACACATTTGGGGAGATGTGTCCTCTAGTGCTCCTGGCGAGGCCCTTCCCTGAGGCCTGCTGGATGTGTTTGAGCCAACCCTGGGCATTTGAGAAGCCCAGGGCCTAAGGCCTACAGAATGTCACTTGGGAATACCTGCTGGTTTGACCAGTGTGAACCTCTGGCAGCACGAGAGCTCAAGGGTGCTCCTGCCATCCTCCTCCCAGGGCAGGGGCCACAGAGGATCCCTGCCCATAGTCCTGACAGTCCTCTCTACTCTTATGTCCTCTAGGGAGATACAAAGCAGGGGAAAAGGAACCAGATCCCAAGACGTGGAAGGCCAACTTTCGTTGTGCCATGAACTCCCTGCCAGATATTGAGGAGGTGAAGGACCAGAGCAGGAACAAGGGCAGTTCAGCCGTGCGGGTGTATCGGATGCTCCCACCTCTCACCAAGAACCAGAGAAAAGGTATCCAAGGGATCTGGGTCCTTAGGAAGCCCTCAGGAAGGGAGGGCGGAAGGTCAGCTGCAGTTGGTGTGTCTATACCAAAGCTGACAAGCTTGTCTGCCCCACAGAGAGAAAGTCCAAGTCCAGCCGAGATGCTAAGAGCAAGGCCAAGAGGAAGGTGAGTGTGGTCCTAAGCAGCTGGGCCTTTGGTCACCTGCAGGTCAGGGTGAGCAGGGGACGAAGCGCTACAGCAGGCCTAAGCTTCTTTCTCCCTTTGTAGTCATATGGAGATTCCAGTCCTGATGCTTTCTCTGATGGACTTAGCAGCTCCACCCTGCCCGATGACCACAGCAGCTACACAGCTCAGGGCTACATAGGACAGGACCTGGAGGTGGAGCCAGGCCTGACTCCAGGTGAGGTGGGACCCCACAAGTTGGTGGAATGGTTCTTTCTCCTGGGTCCAGGAGGCATGGTGCTGGCAGACGGTAGCTTGTTAGAGCAGGGTGGGGGTGCTGGGTGTCTTGCAAACTAAGAAGGGGGTGCTGGGTGTCTTGCAAACAATGCTGATCTGTGGCTTCTGCTGTTCCCCAGCACTGTCACCGTGTGCCGTCAGTAGCACTCTCCCTGACTGGCACATCCCAGTGGAAGTTGTGCCAGACAGCACCAGTGACCTATACAACTTCCAGGTGTCACCCCTGCCTTCTGCCTCTGAAGGTTGGTATTCCTGGGGCCTGGCCTGCCTACTTGACTGTTTGGGTCCTGAGAAAGGCTTCTCAGGGGAGGAAGGATACTCAGAGGTCTGCCTGGCACTGAGCTGGTTGAGCTGGATATTGACCCCTCTCCACCCCAAATGGAGCTGAGCCAAGCCACCAGGACACTAGGAAGGCAGTTCAAAGTGGTCTGCAGGGCTGTGGTGGGCTGGAGAGAGGTTGCTGGTTCTGACTTCTCTGCAGCCCAGTGCTTGAGGGTGAGGAAGGAAGTGAGGAGGTGGGAAGAGGCGTGGCTTCAGAGTTTGGGAGGCTGAGTCACCAGGCCAGTATCCTCTTCTGGAACCTCTATGGCCGGCAGGTCTACTGGGAGACCTGGGCGTGTGTATGTAAAGGAGCAAGGGGAGCTGGTCACCTGGAACCTCAGGGTGAATGTTGCTGACTGCCAGCCAACCTCTCCTTTTCCCCATCCACAGCTGCAACAGATGAAGATGAGGAAGGGAAACTACCTGACGACATCATGAAGGTAAAACCCCTTCCTACTGGGGCATTCTTTTGAAGTGGCTGCTTCTCAGTGAGGCAGGTGACAGTGAGAGGTTCCACATCAGAGGGTGGGCAGCTGCTGTTGTCACCTGGCTGCTTGCATTGTCCCAAGTGCCACATTCATGTGGCTTGGCTGGTGGGAAAGCCACCATGGGTACTGAGGGGGCAGGTGGGAGGCCTGGTCTCTGACAGGCTGTTCTGAAGCAAGCCTTGGGGCCTCAGACAGCTCTGTGAGTCAGCCACCATCAGCATCGAGTCCCTGGCCCGTGTTCTCTGCCCTAACATGCCCCAGCCCTGCTAGTTTGGGAAATGCACATCAGGTTTCAATAATCAGCCTTCGGGATCTGTAATATGATGGCTTAAAAAAAACATTTAGCAAACTATCCTCCAGGGTTATTTTTCTGCTTCAGTTTTTTTTTTTTTTTTTTTGAGTTGGAGTCTCACTCTGTTGCCC